CACTTTTAGCAACAGGCGAATTAATATAAGGCGTTCGCGGTTTGAGAAAATCGGATGTGCGCATACTCTCTCGATGTTCAATTAATATTTTTCTGCAACGTGATGCCGTGTTTTCTGAGCGGCTGCCGTAGTGGTTAATTTCCGTAACACTGTAAAACACGGGAGGTACGTAGTCATAGCCGTACGTTCCTCCTTTCCTGTAGGTGTTCATTCTTTTCCACTGCCTACTAAATAGAAATGAAATTCCTTTGCGTTCTACCGTGCAATTAATGTAATCGTCATATTCTCCTTGAACTTTAACTTTAATGTCATCAGGGCATATACGCGGTATGATATGTTTGTCATTGGTGCTGTAGTTGGTGCATTCTCCATACGAATGGAAGAAATCCAGACATTTAGGACAAAATAATTTTCCATTATTTAATCTGTAGCTGTCGAAATCAATAAATTTAGGATGTATTCTCTTTTCCGCATTGTAATTTTTTCGATTACAGTATTTTGTGTAGTCACGTTTGGGCGAAGGACTACCGTGCTGGTCACGATAATGTGTGTAACGACGATCACTCTCGAGTGTGTGGTTGTGGTATTCCCGGTAATGTGTACGGCGATTATCAGCGCTGTAATCGCTGTCGGGCGAGCAGGGACGGCGCTGAGCACGGTAATTCGGGGAACGTGAGCAGCGGCGGTGCTCACTGGGTGACCGGTTGCCATTAGTATTTCTACGGAGGTGATAAGAATCAGCACGTACAAGATGCCGTCTCGGGCTGGATGACCGATGGTCATCTGAAGAATTATAATGTTCCTGGCGAGTACGGTGTCGCTGGGCGTCGGTACCCTTGTTGTCACTGTGACGGTTACAGGTGTCGGAGAGTTTAATTTCAGTTTGAGCTGACTGTACAGCAGTGTTTACTGCGGTGTCGGCAGCAGCTACTTTTTCAAGTACAGAACGAGCTTCAGAGAAAGTAACTGCGCGAGAAACTATAAGATATTTCCTGTATTCTGGCATATTGTAAAATGCGCGGTGAAGTTCAACAAGTTTATGCGAATCAGACATTTGAGGATCTATTTCGTTAAACAGAATTTCCAACTCCATCAGAAATGTCTCAATATTTGACCCTTTCTTGAACACCTTTTTTGATAATTCAATGCGTTTCTTTATTAAGTAATCTTCAGGGAAAAAGCGGTCAATTAATTTGCATTTCCACTCTTCATAATTTAATTTCGAACATGTGGGCCAACTGCGCTCAAAATACAGACGTGCTTCATCACCAAAGTATGTAGGTAAGATACAAATTCTATCTTCTGAACTCCATCCAATTGCGTCAGCAGCTCTTTCGAATTGTTGAAAGAACGCAGTGATAATATAATCAGGAGTATCATTAAAAACTTTAATATTGAAATCTTTTGCAGTATATCCGTAACGCGACTGTAACGCGAGCACTTGTACCAAGCGGTTAATATCAAGCGGCAGTTGTACAGTAGTAATGTTTGTATCGGTATGAGCGGATGCGGCGTGCTGCGCGGCTGTGTGCGCGGCATGCTCTCTCTGTGCGGTTGCTAACGGAGCGCTGTGCAAAGCACGTTGAGTGAGTGACTCATCGGAAGGCTCATCATCTGAAAAGGTAATTAATGTTTCTTTCTGTTTATAACGTTGCTCCAATCTGTCGTGTCGAAGCACCGGTTCTGTGTGGCTGATGTGAGTGCATGCTGTATTCCCACGCACTGCGCTCTGTCCACTGTTTTTCCTTGACGGTGCATGTGTAAGGCTGCGGGCCGGTTGGGCAGAGGACCAAGACTGGACAGCAGACGTTGACGCTGCGTGTAATGTCGACAGGGAAAGCGCGTTAATCTTTCCAGTGTTATCATTGTTGACACAAGTGTTCGGCAAAGTAATGTTGTGCTTTAACATGTAGGAAGATAATTTATCAACATAACCTGACCTAGAGACTTTCCGATTAATGTACACGTTTAGACTGTTGCTGATGTCCTGCAACTGCGCCTTGGTGAGTTCACCAAGCTGAGACTGCAAATTTATTTCCTCAGATTCCATTGAACTGGTGGACCATGACAGTTAATGTTGTGCTCTCAGAGCATCTAGACCAGTGTTTACGATACACAAGGAAGTTTTGGCGCGAACCAGACCACGGCGGCACAGCGGCGCCGGGTGAACAACGGTAATATAACGATTAGCCAAAGCGCGAACAAATAATGCAGCAAAAATTATTTTTCTATATTCGCAGTTTTAAGATTTTCTGATAAAATGGCATCGTAACAGGAACAGTGATATTAATTAATTTAGCGTTCGGAAAATTAATATAAAACTTTGATGTTATTAATGTATCAAGACCGAAAAAAGCAAATCTCACTGCGTCAACGGACACAGTAAACACTCACGAAACGGCGATCCGTTCCGGGACTTCCGCTGGTTGGTGTGGGAAGTGGTGATATTATGGAAATTGCTGGTATATGCAGGCGTCCAGGTGGAATGGTTCTTTACAGGAGCGCCATGTAACAGTGGCCTATCTGGCTACTGTTCTAGTGGGGTGGCGATCAGCCTTTACCACGATTAAACGGCTGTTGGTGTGAAAGGTGGCACGGCCGGCAACGATGCTGGCCGAGGACGCTCTTACAGATGTAACGCAATTACACAGGTGGCTCCGATTGGGATGACGCTAGTTCATCCCAAGCGGTCAAACGCAACAACGTAACTCAAGGCATGTTTAATGACAAGGGAATCAAGAACACAGCAAGGTTGTAAGCAAGGGTTTCAGCAAGAGGAACAATCAAGTAGATGCAAGCTGTAGCAAGCGAGTGTCAAGACTGAATTCTAGAAATTCATGAGAAAGGAAACTAGCCGGAAAAGTGGACACAAATTCATAACGCGATGGAATGAATCATAACTGGGCGGTCTTATCGTTCGTACAAATACTATCGCTACAGTATTTACACGATATTAAGGGACAGAAAACCCCAGGACCGCCCGCACTAGGCGTCGGCTCCATTGATGTCAAAGGAACCGACAGCTAGTGCGGGCGGTCCTGGGAATTTCTCTGTCCTTTAATATCGTGTAAATACAGTACTTGTCCCGTTTTTATTCCCGTTCGCAGAGGTTCCGTCACCGATCACCCTCCAACTGTGACAGAAAAAAATAAAATTATAGCTGCCCGTGGTTGCAGATTATGTGCAAATTCTTTGTAAAACAAATCTACGATATGCGGAATGATACACTGCCAAATAAATGCGTATAAAATTTAGTTTGTATTAATAATTATTATAGAATACACAAACCAACAGTTGACCATGAGCGAAACTTCAGAGATCATGATCTTTAAAGACTCACGCACCAATTTTTTGGAAGCACTAAACTTATTAATTTGATTGTCGAACACGACAAACACAGATGTCTAGATGGTCGTTTACCGTACGTCTGCTATCGTAGTTCAGTGGCACAAAAGTTGATTCTGAATCTCGTTGCATACTTACATGCATACTGACATGTGCAAAAACAACATTGCCAAATTAACGCAAATAAAATCAATAAAAGATTACCGTTTTTCACCCAGCGTATAGAAAAACCGTTAATACCGTTAATACCTTCATAATCTTCATTTTCATCTCAATATTTTTCTTCATCATGGTAAGAAAAATCTGCCAAAATGACGCGCAATAGTAGTTATTCAAAACTGATTGAAAACATGTCGTTTAATGCCTCGTCAGGGGCGTGGTCGGACCTGCTGGCTTTCTGCTTCATTATCTTTGAATAATTCACCCGCCTCGCGTTCTCACGGACTTAATCAAAACATTTTCACCGGAAACGATGCTTTAACATTTTTACCAACAAGATTCGCCGCCAGAGCAGAACGTGTACTGCCTGTTCCTCTTAAATTCTCGACGATTATAAATTAAAATTAAGTTCCACATCATGAATAAATTTCCTTCACTATTACACATTTATTAAGAAAGCCGCGCATTTTCCTCGGTACACTTGTAAAGCCAAAGGTACAGCGGAAAATGGGACAGTCAGCAACGCAAAAACCGACAAAAGAGGTCAGTTGACATAATTCTATTCACAGCTTGTAATTCATCGGCACAACACGCATTCCACATGTCAGTGCAAGACATATGCTGCAAGATGACATTTTGATAATTATCTGTGTCAGGACAAAATCATCCCCGGCGAAGAGGATCCTCGGGAGTTAAAATCATTAAAAAGCAGTTAATTTAAAAACTATCCTGCCGGCTCGCAAAGCCGATAATCGATAATCAAGACGATCGAAAACATGCCCAAAATAAAACTTCTGCGATATGAAATTTTGGAAATTTCTTATTTGTCAACTTGCAGTAGTCACTGCGCCTTACGCATACTGCTATGCTCGTATCAGTCGTACGTGACGTGAAACTATATAACCAGCTTTCAACAGAACCGTAACCCCTTCGTTATGGGGCAGATTCTGATTCTGGCGGAGTACAAGGTACGGATCAGAGCCTACTGTACAGAGCTCAAGTACCAGTTCTCGCGTGCACTTGTAAAGGTCACATTGTCGTTGTTTATATATCCATCTGGCTGTGGCCGGCCTGGCCACTGGTCATTGACCAGTCGTGTGTACGTGCATGTGGAAGTGATGGAACACTGCGGAGAATACCGTTGCATTTGCGCCCGGTCCGGAATCCTTATTGAGTAAGCGTCCGTAAAGCAAACAGCGTCGACTAACTGTAATTTTCACTATTCTGACATTTATAACAAATACTTGAAATTTGCAGATGTCACGAAACTTCTGGACCCTTTTAGCATCGCCATCAACATATTTCATGGTTCGCGTTGAGATTTTATTATTTTTTGTTGCCCACATTTCGATGCTTGTCGATTGAAACTTGAAAGCAACGGGCTGTACAGCAGTGCGACGATTTTTTCCCTCAAGCTGTAATTTTCAAGGGCATCTTTGTGGCTAATGCAAATTTACAGGCAAACAAATCATGTTACAAACAAACGCTTTGGGAAAACGAAAACATAAAAAGCAGGAGAAAATACTCTGTTTTCCCAAGCAGCCACGCCCACTCGTTTCACATGGTGGACGTGGTGTGGTTCAGTTTCCGCGCGAAGCCGACCCGGCTCGTCTCCGCGGCGTGACCGTTGCCGTTCGTGTTGCGTTTCGGCGCCTTTAAGGGAACCCACAAAACAAAAAATTTTAAATAAACAGTTAAATATAATTCTTCAGTTGATTTATACATTACTTAAATAATCAAATTCTTAATCAAATAAATTAACTAAATTTTTGAATCAAATTGTTAGAATTACAACTGGTGTTAATTGATACTCGTTTCTAAAAATGATCTTTAATCGGCATCTGCCATTACACATAACAATACGCCTGCGCGGGTTTACACTAATAAAAGTTCCGAATTTTAAACATTGAAAAAACATCCAAAATCATTAGCGTCTTTCGTGAATTTAGTACGTGCGTTAAATGTACCCAAAACAGCCGCTGCATTCCCTCTGACTACAGCTAAACTTAAACGTTGTCTCAAAAAGGCTGTAGATCGAGGCTCTCCGGTAATGACACGAATCTTGCGGCCGACGAAACGGATTAGCTCCGAGAAAGCCAATCCAAATGTCCCAAGTGTCTCGACGGCCAGAGCGTAGAAAAGATATCCCAAATCCTCGACGAAGGCGTATTTCCGGCGCTTGTAGTCTTCTGCCATCTGCGCTACACTTCCGGCTTTCAAAGAACTAGCGTGCACGTGAGAGACGGCTAGTGTCCCAGCACGTTGCATCCCACACAACCGCCTTCCCATCGCGTACAGGAATCAAAGTCATACCATCGGGACGTTTGTTTTCTTTATTTGACAGGCCCGACGGTTCGGACTGACAAGGGTAACCCGCAGTCTCCAAGGAGCGTTTAACTTCGTTGTTCAATTCAGTATGACGTGACCATCTCCCCTTGCTGCTTGAACAGGATAGACCGTGATGGCCATTTACTTCCACGAGGCTTCCGCAATTCGCGCAGTGATGCTCTTCTACCACGGGAAGTCCGAATCGAAGGGCGACACCCACTCTGACTTCCTCGTCACGTAGGAGTGTACGCAGACTTGGTGCTGGAAGGGCATTTATCCATGCTCCGGATTCTCGATGAAGGGCAGCAAGGAGCACTGCTTTGTCCGTTTCGTTTGAGGCAGTTGACTTCAGCGACAAAACGACCAGGTCTATAGCTGGACGATCCCAAGTATGCTGAAACATCCTACAGTCTTCGGCTGGAGGTTCACAATTAGTTCCTTCTACCCACTTCTGAACAACTGGATCGATGAGAGCTGCCGTAGTGGACTCGTAGATTTTCGAAACCAACGACACTACCGAATACGCCGATGCCAAAAAGGCAGGAAAAACTAGCGATTTAGTAGTCCGTAGTCCCAATCCACCATCCCTTACTGGCAGCGTCATTTGGCTCCACTGACGATCATTAACCCGCACATTCAGGATTGATTGCATGCCGGTACGTACGCATTCGTCCATGACATCAATAAGGGCCAAATGCTCGTAGCATCTAGCTGTACGAAAACCATACAGTAACTTTGGGATCAGCAGGCAGTTTTTCAGCAGGTACAGACTGATGTGTGCTGGTATTTCTTTTAAACGGCCAAGGAAATCTTTCAGTTGAATTGATTTGCTGCGTAGAAACTTTTCACAAGCTGCTGACGTTAACGGCGCTCCCAGCAACACCAGATCTTCTTCCTTGGTGGCATGCATTGCTGGCCAGACATCGAGCACCGTCTGCACGGCGTGCATGCGATCCGCAGAAAAACGTCCCACACCGTATACTTCACATTTATCTGGATTCAACTCCAGACCCATCTTAAAACCGCGAGTAATGATGAGCCGAATAGCCGCGATCACTTTTTCCGCATGTCCAGCTAGCGTTACATCGTCCAAAAAACCCACAGATACTTCACACGGCAGATCTGAATAGAGTGGAAGTGTTGCCAAGCTGTAGCCAAAAGGACCATTCGGGTCACCTTGTTGCACTCCCGTCTCTGAAGACAGCTGAGATTCACCGCAGGATAGGTAGGACGGATGTCGGTAACACTGCCAAAAATACCGGTAGTAGGCTGGAAATCTAGATTTAACAGCGGCAAGAAGAACATCACGGCGTAGTGTGTTGAAAGCATTACGAAAATCCAGCTTAACAATCACCCGAGCGTCAGTGTGATCGGTCTCTATGTAGCTTCGCACTGCATGCACCGCCGCTTCAGCTCCTCCTCGAACCCCAAAGCCAACTTGCGAAGGGCTGAATAATGCAGCTGCTTCATCCGCACATCGCTTGCTGACAATCTTGGACCACAATCTTCGGAAGGTGTCACCAATAGCTATCGGCCGTACACCGCCGTCCTTTTTCGCTAGTGGGATCAGATTTGCTCCGAACAGAAATGGCCTGATATCCTCGGGCACATCTTTACGTAGCACCATAGTGGATAAATCCGAAAGCCCTGTACAGAGCTCGCTTTGTGTGTCGTCCTTTCGGCCAAGAAGATCTTTAAGGTGCTGTGGCCGGAGGCCAAAAACTCCTCCGGCTGATCCGGGCGGGAAACTAAATACCGCTGCCATGAGTTCCGCTGGCGAAACAGCATGAGTCTGTATTGTCTCCTTAGGTGGCGGGGGGAACAGGCAATCATCTGGTGCAGGAGGATGTTTAGCGCGCAGTGACTCCACTGTACGGGCATCCAACTCTGCGAGCTTGTCCTCCGCAAGTAGTACTCGTATAGCCCCTTTAACGTTACCATCCTGCATCATAGATATTACCTGGGAGCGCAATCGGTCGGGTTTGGGGTTTGCTTTTTTCCCCTGTTCCCGGCGGGGTACCGTTTGGCGCTTTTCCAGGGACAGATCAGCCAAGTTTTTTCTCACAACTGATGCAAGGGACTCTTTCCGTAGGGACTTTGCCGGGGGGAGCGACAGAGCAGATGGTGCGAACAGCAGCAAAGCGGTCCAGCTCGCTGAATTATTGGTGCGCACGCAGTCCCGGACGAGTTCCGACAGTGTTCGAGCGCACTGGTGCCGTACTGCTTTGGGAATTCGTTTGGGGATGTGATAGCGGCCTCCTTCAAGAAAAGAAAGCAGGGGATGCTTCTGGGGACCTCGAGGAGGGGCTGGTGAAGGAAGAGTGGACGAGGAACCCGAGGCCTGCTTCTGGGAACATGCGCGCACGTGTAGCTTCAGGCCAGCGCCCTGTGTAAAAAGTCTTGGGCAATGTGGGCATGGCTGATCACGAACCATTGTCAAAACCGAAAGTAGACCCACCTAATGCGTCATGAGGAAGGCAGGATGCCTCAGAGGATCAGTCTGCCGCGAGCAGCATCCCGTTCCGTGGCACTTTCCCTTTCCGTGGTACGGTGCCACGGTTAGATCACTCCGAAGCCACCCTCACAGTTAACAGGAAAAAAATCGTCTGTTAACGCGTCGGGAAATTTGACGTCAGTTAAAACAAACAAATACAAATATCCCAGTACTCGAGCGTATGCTCATAATTGTTTTAGTAGAACAATTAATAAACACAAACCATTAATACTCGTTTCTTGATAAACTTATAAAAATACATATATAGAAAAGAAAAAATACGTAAAAATATAAGACGGCACTGTACAGTTGGGGAGCGCGGAATCCTGGACACTTCATGTGGTTCGCCGGACGACGATGACGACACGGACGCCGTGGATGGCCGTGAATGCGACAGACTGTCGCCCGGTCCGAGGGTGGTGCGGGCGTAGATCAGCGCCGCGATGTCCTTGTGCTGCGCCTCCAGCGCCACGTACAGGGCACACATCCCATCCTGTACACAAAAAAATTTATTGAAAAATCGTGAATTTCAAAAAGAATTAAAGCCCGAAAATATTCAGTCTAATTACATAATTACGATTACAGATAAAAATTTATAAATTATGCTTTTTAAAAAATTTACAATTCACATCCGAAAATGATTTTAAATCGGCTTTAATAATTTTTACTGTTTAGTTTTACGTTAGTGACACGTTTTTTGCCCGCGCTCAAGCTCTGACTCTGACTCAGACTCTGACCGCTCAAACTCTGACTCTGACTACTCAAAGTCTGACTCTGACTGTCCAAACTCTGACTTTGACTGAATAACCTAAGAATAACTTAAGAAACCTAAGAAACCAAAGAAACCTATTAAGAAACCTAAGAAACCTATTAAGAAACCTAAGAAACCTTCAGAGTCAGAGTCAGACTTTGAGTGGTCAGAATCAGAGTCGGAGTCTAGGCCGTTTTTCTTGAGGTCAGCCATATTAAGCCTTTGTACTACAAACATCTGAATTTCGATACTCAGCTTTGAAAAACAATCGCAACCGCTAGAACTACGCCAAATACTAGCGTCCAATCATCACCGTCCAATCATCACCAGTTTTTTTAAACAAGAAATATATAACCAGCAAACGTGCGGGATTGATAATGCAGATGAATAACGGAATCGCGGCTAACCTTATCGCGGCTAACCTACGTTGCCCGCCACGGATATAACCACTGCTACACTAGCATGGAAATTGTTAGCGGATACGGACGAACTTCCTACTGAGGCGTTCAGGCATGTCCAGAAAGCGTGGGATACACCGGCAATACTACATGCGTTTTCCAGTTTGACTGAATTACGGACTACAAAAGAAGAAGTCGCACACTTGAAGGCGGTGTCAGTGCCTGAATCCGGTGCATGGATTCATGCTTTGCCTGCAGCATGTCTCGGAAACTTATTGGACAACAACGCCTTCCGTATAAGTGTAGCGCTACGTCTGGGAGCACCAATAGTCACTCCCCACGTGTGCGTTTGTGGCGGACAAGTCGATGAATTGGGCCGGCACGGGCTCCGTTGTAAGCGGTCAGCCGGAAGGCTGCCACGGCACGATGGCATCAGCGCGGAATTCACCCGCGGACTGAAGACCGCCGGTTTTCCAGCGAAAATGGAACCAAAAGGTCTCTCAGTGAAAGATCGCAAGAGGCCGGACGTGATTACTCTTATACCCTGGGAGCGCGGTAAACCGCTTGCTATTGACGTGACCTGCGTTGACACACTCGCTGCTTCGTATATCGACCGCACCTTTCTGAACGTTGGAGCCGCTGCCGAGCTGGCGGAACGGGCCAAACTGATCAAACACGCCTGGCTTTTACCAAGATACAACCTCACAGCGGCAGCGATTGAAATTTACGGACCATGGGGGGACGGTACGAAAATGCTCGTTGACAAGGTTGGAAACGGGATAGCAACCGCCACAGGCCAGAAGCGGGCGAAAGAGTTTTTTAAGCAGCGGCTATCTGTTCAAATTCAACGAGGAAATGCTATATGTGTGATGGGTACAATCCCCGATCAGGATAGCATTGAGGAAGTGTTTTTCTTATGAATTTGTGTTGTTTCGAGTACTTAGTTAGTACTTACGAGTGATACTTATTAAAGGTGATCGACGCTAAAAAAAAAAAAACAAAAAACCTTATCAGTGAGATGGGCGTCGGTGTCCGGATGGCCTAACAACAACCGGACGATCTCCAGGTGTCCGTGCTCGCTGGCGCACATCAGCGCCGTCGAGCCGTCGTCGTCCTGATCGCAAAACACAAGTTACACAACCACCATTAATTATCTTCGACTCAGTTGTCCGACATTTTTATTTTGCGTTTCCAACAATATTTTCGAAACAAATCACAGGCGAGGATTATTATAGGAAATTTACCTGGATGTTAACGTCCGCTCCGGCAGCAGCCGCACCGTGTCTAACCGACCATGACTCACCGCCAGCATCAGCGCCTTTGTCCATGCTGACAAACAAAATGAAATAATCACCATAAATTTTCAGAATTTTTTCCAGTATTTTAAGATTTATTTATATTTATTAGTGAATGTTTTTCCATTTTATTTCGTCATGTTTATTATTATTTGCAGTATTTCGTATCAGAATTTTCTTCACTTTTTTGTTTAGTAAATCATTTTTGTAAGTAAAGTACTGATTAGCTGGATTATTTCTACGAATGGCTGCATAAAACACAATCATATTATTTACAATGTATTGTTGGCACTTGTAGTATATGTACTTAAGTACTCGTACAAAGGTTGTACGAGTATCTCGTGAAATGGATAATGGCCTAGGGCTAACGTGCCGTAGCAACGGTATTGTTGTTGTCCGTTATTGTTGCCATGTTTAGAGTTTAGTGGGTTGTTTGCTGCTGTCCCGAGCGGACATAATAAAAGATAATGCCGTTCGTTCAATACATTACACCACTTTATAAGATTAAGAGTTTGCTTTCCAAGCTATTTTTCACCAAGTTTCTCTACAAGCCAGTAAATCAGGAAAAAAATTCATTGAATTTTCAGCCTTGTTTCACTGACCTGGTGCGCTTTGCGGTTGACGTCGCCGAGTTTGAAGAGCGACCAGCTGGTCGGTGTTGGTGGCCAGATGCGCCAGCGAGGCCAGCATGGTGGGCGTGTATCCGGCGCGGTTGACGCTGTCCACGTCGCAGACTTTGGAGTCCAGCAGGACGCTGACCACGTCCAAGTGCTTCTGCAAGATGGCGTAGTGCAGCACCGTGTTGCCCTGTCCACACAAGTCAAAATTTTAACCGGCAGATCAATTCAGGAGCCGAAAATTTCACAGTTTTCAGTTTGTACGATGCAAATCTTAGACTGTCGTAAAAACAAATCATAAAAAGAATATGCAGTATAGCTAAATTCCGCAAATTCTAACTTTGTTTCTAAAGCATGTACGTTAAATTTATCCTACATCCGGCCGACGACTTTATCCTGCCCATGCACTACGAAAATCAACAATCTCTACATTCGCCTAAATCAGCGTAACAGTTAACGAAGCAACAGATGAGGATAAATCTGTAAAGGTTTTTTTCGAAAAGCTTCCTGAATTTAGAAAATATTCATTTTAAAGGGGGCGCAAATTGTACGGAAAATATCGTAGCAGCGTGAGTCTGCGGACGGTACAAGAAGCATTCCTTATGGACTTATAACAGTGTTGACAATAAAATTAATTACTCTACTAATTTTAGTTACTGTTAATATTCGACCGAAATCAACTTACATTGTTGTCGGCCAAATTGACGACTTTGTGCAGCAACGCCTTGGACATTCCCCCGAAGGCGTCGAGGTAGTCGTTGACTAGTTGCGCGTTGCGTTCTTCTGGCCCGCCACGCGGAACCACTCCTCCTCGATCATGCGGATACAACGGTCCTGTTCAATACAAGTTCCAATGGAAAATCAGAAAATATAAAAATCAAACGGAATTTACGATTTTACTGGTGCGCTTTCGTAATGATCCATTCACGCTGGATTCGCTGCTGCGCGAATTCGAGCGGCCTTCGCGCTGCAGGTAGTCGTTGAGGACTTTGCAGGCGGCCATCACTTCCTTGCTGATCACACCGCTAAAAAGCATAAAAAAATGTTACATAATGTAGACATGAAATTTCTGATTAATGCGCTAGTTAAATGAAATTCCGGCGTCTACAAGCTTCTAAATACGATCTGGATCATCAGGTCACTAGAAAGTAGAAACCAAAGTTAAGCAGCAACTGAGCGGTACGTTTTAAATGCAAGTTACATAATAGGAAAAAGCCGAAATACTCTACAAAAAATGTACAAAGCAACAACAAAAATTGTATGCAAATTTTTTGCCCTGAAAATGAAACTTGTAGAGGAAAACGATCCTGAAATTTTTGCACACTTGAACTTCAAGGTTTTTTTGCATAAAGTTTTTCAAAAAATCATAAGCAAATAATTTTTACACTGTTCATATCTTAAATTATTAATTCTTTACAAAGTAAATGAGAAACAAGTATTTTCCAGAATATTTTGAAAATAGAGTTTAGATAACCAAACCAATCGCAGTGCGAATAATGCAGTTAGCCACTTCGTGAAATTAAAGCCGGGAAAACTCTCCCGCCACTTACACCGCTTCGTAGTCATCGAAGTGAAAATCTTGGTCACACTGGGCTTCTCCTCCACGCCGCACTTGTTGGACAGATATCCGTGTCGCAGATCATAGCTGCCCTCGTCCTCACTCGGCTCCTCCGAGTGTGTTGACACTCCCGGCGACAACGGATCATCTTCACTCAAAGGCCGCACTGCTTCGACACTCGGTGTCAATTTCTCATTGCTCTCATCGTCCTCTCCGTTTTCCGCGATGGATTCCGTGACCTCGGCCTTATCCGCTGATTTCTCCCCATTTTCATTATCAATCGGTTCTTCGGCTGTTTCCTGGGGAATCTCGGGCTCCTCGATTAACAAGGGATTTTCGTATGCGTTTGCCGGTATTGGTTTCTTTTGCCGGGAATTTCGGCGTTTTTTATGGGAAATTCGTTTGGGCGATTTTTTTTGGGGTGCGGAAAATTGTGCGGGTGGGTGATTGGCAGGGGATCGGTGTTGGTGGCGGTTTCGGTGGTTTCACCCGGTAGTGTCCAGGTTTCGATGGAAATCGTCGCCGGTGAATCAGTGCCGATGCCGAAATCGACCAACTGCGGTGATTCGATCGACAACTGCTCCACTTCCTCCGATTCACATTTACCGTAATCAGCGAGGGATGAATCTTCAGAAATATCACCTGTAAAACGATCGGTTGTGAAAGCGCCAAAAAAACCAAATCGGAACCGTGTGATAGAACCGAAGAGTCCGGTTTGTGAACAAACTGGAATAATTATTCATATAGAATAATGAACAAAATTATGATTGCAAAAAATTAAATGCAGTCAACCCTGTGGCAATGCAGATTCCGCAATAAAATTTAAAAATTGGTCTCTAGAAAATTTAATCAATTTATTGTGTATTAAACTGGTTTAGGTCAACGAGGTCAACGAGAATATTACCAAAAGCCGTCAGAGCAAGCTGATTGCCACTGCCCTACGTCATTATCGATTTTACTGTACAGTGCACAGTCTGCGCTTGGCCAGTTTGTCACCTGCACGAGTCTAATGATTGTACCGTGTAATTTCTTTATTTCAATAATAACAAAATCACAGCCGAGCTGAGAAGAAAAACAACATCGGGCACTAATCATTCCCGATCAGCCAATCTAAAAGCTAAAAAAACGTCCTCGTTGTCTCGCATCTCATTAAATGTTCCGAGGACAGACACCGCACTTCCGCGTTGTATCTCGGTGCTGATTCTCTGACGCAAAAACTCTCCCGACCGAGGGTTACCACTACATTCGCAAATCTTTCTTGACAGATCTTTGAAAAATTTCTTGGTTAGCGGTCCAAAGGTTCCCGTAGTTTCAAAAGCCAGAGGTTGTACTACGTATCGATCCGCGAGTCCATCGTACTTCCGTAACTTCTGATTCTCTCTCACTTCCGCTGCGCTTCCAGGAACACGTGATGTATGGCCTATGTAGGTCTGGGCGAAGGTATCGGCAACAGTGACATCCCATACCAACGGCTTCCCATTGCGCCAGGGAAAAGCCGTAACTCCGTCTGGCCGCTTCCCATCTCCTCTATCCAGTCCCGGTGGCTCAAGCGACGACGGCACTCTCGCTGAATTCAGGGCTCTTTTGTTGCGGCGTTCAACACGGCATGAGTACCGTGTCTTCCTTTTGCCAGCTTACACACCAGGCCGTGGTGACCGAGACTGTCCACTGTGGATCCGCAGCGACATACGTGCGGTTGGCATACCGGTGCACCCAATCGTCGAGCCACTGCTATGCGTAAATGGGCGTCCTCCAACAAGTTGCCAAAAATTGAAACGGGTAATGCAGCTAACCAAGCGCGGGATTCCGATGAGGATGCAGCCAACAAACGTGCGCGGGTAATTACGTCGGCGTTCTCCAACATGCGGGTCGCTGTCCTGGTGTGCTGCACTGCTGTCCAAGCTGACTGGAAACGGCGGTTTTCGGTCCTGGGGGCGTCTGCCGTGTAGCAACTTGTCCATGCTTCTGTGAGGCGAGTACATTTCTCTTGGACAGAGTTACTGCGGACGATACTGTGCACTACGTCGGCTACTCCGTGCAGCGATGAGGCATAAGCAGCGAGCGCCACATCTGCTGCTTTTACCAATCCCAATCCGCCAAACCTCGTGGGTAGCGCAGCTTGCTCCCATACTGTATTGGTCATTGATACATTTGTCAGCTGTTCCGCCTTGCTCCGTATCGTTTCATCAAACTTCTGTAGCGCATCCGGGTATTGCCAACATTCTGCTGTCCTAAGAAGGTATAACAACTTCGGCAGCGACAAGCAATTTTTTAAAAGAAATATGGCTTGATGAGTAGGCAATATACCGAGCTGGTCGGCAAGCACTTGTGTTTGACCGACCTTTTTCATCAACGCGCCCTCAACCGCTTCGGCTAAGAGAGGAGATCCCAACAACTCCAGCTTATCCGCCGTGACTACGCGCATATCCGGTGCCACTTCCATGAACATCCGGACCACTTCTGCGCGTTCGCTGGCACTTCCCCATCTACGTACAGCTCACATTTTCTCGTGTTTAGTTCCAGGCCTATTTCAGCGGCCGCTCCGCGGAGTTCCAAAAAGGCATCACGGACTGTTGGCGGACTACCTGCACTGACACCGTCGTCTAGGTACCAAAGATTAATGAGCGTTTTTAACAGTGAACAAGGCGCCAAAGTTAGTAAACCATATAACATAGGAGCACTGGGATCGCCCTGCTGCACACCGCTGTCCGACAAAATGGTGATTCCAGTGCTGGGGGAAACGCAGAACAGCGTTGTAGCTTCTCCATAGGCCGAATAAAAGAAGTTGTAATATTCGGGTATGCGTTCCTTCACTACATTCAAAATCTTGTCCCGTCTGACGGTGTTGAAGGCGTTAGAAAAGTCAAACTTTAGAAAGGCACGTGCTTCTGTCGATGTGGTCTGTAAAAACTCTCTCGCACAGTGCACCACTGTTTCGGCTCCCCTCTTCGTACCAAAACCAAACTGTACGGGACGAAAATAATCTCCCATATCTTCTGACAAACGGAAACACACAATCTTAGCAATTAAACGGCGGAGTGTACAGCCAGAGGCTATGGGGCGAATACCTCCATCAGGCTTTATAAACGGGAAGAGATTCGCTCCGAAAAACACGTCTCTGGCTTCTTCAGGGATTTCGCGTTGCAGTAAATGGTTCGCAAATTTCACCAGTGCATCCAGCAGCTTTCGACGGGTCTCTCCTTGCGCGGATAGCAAATCTTTGAGGTGATCAGCGCGGAGACCATCCGGTCCTGGGGAGGTACCTACATCAAACGACTCAAGGGCAGCTAACAGTTCTCGGTGTGTTACATCAGCAGCGACCGCATCCACATTACCCACCGGTGCATCCAGGGCCGACCTGGATGTTTTTCCTTTAACAGCGCAATGACTTCATCGGTTAACGGCGCGATGGTCTCGTGTGATACCAAGGCGTTCAAAGCACGTCCAATGGCACCACACTCCAGATGCGCATTAACCCGTTTGGCTTTAGCTGCTGCTGTGGATTTGCCTTTTTGTTGTTTCTTTTTCGAAGGCTTGCTGTCATATCGTTTGCCAATGAGGTTGTTCTTCACAGAAGTAGCTAGCGATGGGCCTTTACCAGATTTCGTGGGGGGAGCTGTCAAGATGGTGGGTGCGAAAAGGATTAATGCACTCCAGGCTTGCAGATCATTGTTGTCGCAGCAGGCCGATAATAGCTCAGCGAAAGCATCCGCGCACGCGTCTCTGGCTCCCACAGGAACACGTGGAAGGACTGGGTTGGACTGGCGGACGCGAGATAAAGTGGCTTTCAGGCTCTCAGGGCTGGGAACCACTGGACTCGGAGGAACGACGATCGTCTGCTGACTGCGCAGGTTCTTCGCTTGAGATTCCCTGCATTTTCCACTGTCTCGGTGTTGCGCGATTCCATGAGCAGTGGAACACACTTTTCCACATAAATCGCAGGGAAAATCGGACTTTTTAGAGGACATTCACATTATGAAATTATAAATCATTATGAAATTTTAAATAAATGAAACGGGCGTTGTAACCTCGCTAATTATAATCGCTAATTGTACCGTTAAATCGCTAACTGCAGTATACTGTATTTTTGCTGCCGTTACGTAAGTAAATGAAGTTAATAGAAAACATACCAGACAAGCAAAATTAATACCAGTACAGACAGCCGCGGTGTGTCTAAAAAACAGAAGACTACAACAAATTTCAATGCAAATTACGCTCTATAAGATACTGGACATGGTGATTCCTTCAAGGGATTTGGATGCATATCCACTGCTCTACGATAATCTCGTGCCTTTCTGTTTTAACCCCCCATCATGCATTTTCAGCATACTAGTTATAGGTATGTATATAATTGTACATTGCCTGATTGCATGTGCTCGGCACTTTTTTTATAAAATTATAATAATAAATTAAAATAAATTAGTGAATTAAAAATTAAATATGTGAGTAAAACCAAATTAAGAAAATGCAATTATAAAATAAACATACTAAAAATAAAACTTGGCAAAACTGTTTCCTTGTTTACATTCAAACAAAGAATTAGCACCGTATACTCCATAGCAGTGACGTCTTAAGCCTGCAATACATGCTTACCAGTTACCACTCAGCACGCCGATATCCGTGCAACGCCGCTGCACATTCCCCACTTCCTCCGTCTCGGTGGCCTTCTCCAGCGCATCCCGGCGACTGATCCCTTCTAGCACCGCCCGCACCCGGGCCACAGCCAGCGGGGACATCTCCCGCACCGCCACTTGCTTCAGCACATCCAACAACTCCCCTTTCTCCCGTCGGCGGCTGACCAACCACTCCGGAAGCGCCGGGCGTTGGATGTTCTCACTGGTCTGCGTTCCCACGGTCATCTCCGCTCTTTTCCTCTTCAGCGCCTCCAGTTCCGCCTGGAGAACTGGCACCAGATCCGCTTGGGCCTGGAGTCGCTGCATCTCGCGTAATCCCGCGTGGAGCGTCTCCCGGACACTCTCCAGGGCCTCCGCCGGGACCATGGTGCCGCCGCGCGACGGGGTGGTGCTCCGCTCTTTGATATCGGGGAGGGAGGCGCAGGATTCGCGCGGGAAGGAGGTCACGCGGGAGCGCGGCGTGTGTGCAACTGGAACGGTGAAGCGGGATTCGCGCTCCACCGATTGGTACATGATCTCCACCTCCGAGGACTTTTTCCGTCTCGGAGGTCATAGTTGACGTAACAATCGCATCGGAGGTGGTCTCACCAGAAACGCCGACCATCGAGGTGGTTTTCAAAGTTTCGGAGGTGGTTTTTGTGGCGACAGACACGTCGGAGGTGTGTCTACGGGATGCACCGACCTCAGAGGTGGGTTTTTGGAGTTTTGGAAACTTCAGTGCCTCCGCAATGTGAACGTCCGGCTCTTCCAGCACCGATTAAAGAATCTGTTCATTCCGATCGGGAAGATTTAGATGCAGCCCCTCGTCAAAAAGTTTGTTCTAAACTGTATCAACATACCTCAAATGTTAAGCCAATTATCATAAAATGTGCCGACGGCATGATTTTGGCAGCAGATCAGCATAGTAATTTATATCAACACAGAATCTGTATCTAAGTTATCCAATGAATCAAAATCCATATAACTTGTCAATCCGTTGCTTTCCAAAGCAACAAGTCACAACAAAAGCGCCCGTCAAAACAATTCTCTTTACAAACGAAATAACGCGTTCGCGGTGAAGTAACAGAAGAACAAGTATCTGTCGGTCAACCGACAATTGTAGTAATTTCCAAGTTAAAAAAGAAACAAATCCGCACGGCGCCCGGAGACTTCACAAAGGCCACGACAGCACCCACGAAGCTCGGCCATTTCGAACAGCCAGATCCAACTTAACCCGTACGGTCTCTTTTCTATCCGGAAAGGGCGGCGGGGCGTGGGTTTTGAGCGTAGGAGGGAAGGGTTTGTGCCGGTTACATTCCCCGCGCTTTCCTGTCAACAAAGGGAAGGTCCGTAGCGGACAGCTAACTCCGTGCGGAATTTTTGGAGCATAGCGACCATGTAAAGGAGCCCAGCACCGACAAACATCCCACTTCGATTCCTAGAAAATGAAAACTGCAGGTTGACCGGCACATGTGCACCAAAAAGCCGATATTAACGGGGAACCTTACACTCACTATGTGCACTGTTCGCACATGTCGCTGCATTTCCTTCCACTCGATGTCTACCCCACACAGCGCACACGTAACTTCGTACCGTTCGCCCCCGTCCCTAAAACAAAAAGCGGAATGTTGAAATAAATTCTTTTAATTATCAAATTTCTAATTACATTTTATAAACGTGGAGTTCTTCATTTCGAATTGCGCCATAGACTCGGCACTTTGCGCATTTGGGCTTGCAGGGTCCATGGACTGCATGCGGTTTGGTATATGGGATCTCTTTGCGGATGCAGGATAAACCAAAACGCTCGAATAACGTTCGCACATACTACAAGAAGAAAGTAAAATGAGGTAACGATATGTTTATGGATGTCGACATCCAAATATTACTTCGTCTTTCCCTTTAATAGCGGACGGTTTAATCCACTGGAGTACAAATTCCGTGGTATCCTTACTGTCCAGCAGACCGGATGGGCGGAAAAGCGAATCAGCCAGCGCCGTACTCTTGACGGCGGCCACAGGAGTATCCAGCTTCTCCATCAGTTTGGCGACGTTGCCGTAATCAAATACGGTCGCTTCGTTGGCGTGCAACATGCGATAGTACTGGCTTCCGCTGGCCTCCAAAAAGTCATTATCCGATCTTCAAAAAAAGGTATAAATAGAGACGATCTGAACGTGTTATTCAAACCAGAATTTAAAAGCACTTACCTGTACAAATTGTAATCCAGTGACGCCAGATCAAAAGTCCACAGCCACCGCAATTCTACACCAGTCAGCATGATGTAGCCGAGTTGGGTGGCACGGGCATCTAGGCCAGGAAAGATTATTTCAGCGACGTTCCGGCAAAATTCCATTTGTGCCCGAGGAGAAGCCTTTACGGTGGTTGGCAGAGAGGCCTGAGCAGTCGCATCTTCACATGGCGGTCGACCGCCAACAGCGATGGCGGCCTGGATACTGTCCACTGTTTTGCCGCTGTCATCAGCTGCTCCTTTTATCCATCCGAGATTGCGTAGCTGCTTCCAGTTCGGGCTGCGCGTAAAAAATAAAACAATCGTACACGCCAGAATCAAGAAAATGAGAAGTATATTACGAACTTAAATTAATAAAACTGACGCACCTGCGACAGCTAGGACACAGATGTTGAAATAACGGCTCTCCCGCTTTCTTGTCCTTGTTTTTTTTTATTTCATCCTGCACTAGCGTCGCAAAGCATTCCGTGCACATAATGTTTCCACAACAGGGAGTTATGTTGTAGTCATCTCCGTCTGGCGTCTGATGTACCATACATTTAAACGAGTCGCGGGCACGCTGTAAGACATAAACACCAGATAAAAAGCACGTTTAAGCATTTTATACTGAAATAAATTTAGATCAGAGAACTCAGATCTGCAAAAGGCCGATCGACAGTTTATCCTAAGAGTGCGAGAAATCACAAATTGTATTTAGTTTATTTACATGTACAAAGCTTTTAAAGTAATTTTTTAACACCTGCTGTATGTGACGGACATTGAAGTGACGGTAGATGTCAAGATATGTGTACTTGCGGTAAGCGTCAGAAACATAGCTGGCCGGGGGCTGCGGCTCCAGTCCCGGGCGCGGGATGGCGGTTGAATTGAGAGAAGCCTCAAAATAGGCATCCAGTGGAACAAGTGGCTGCTCCATAATATTTTGAAAATGGTAGAAATTGGAGATGCGTGTCAAGCAGACGAGTGTATAGTGATGAGTGACAACGGGCGCAGGCAACGGCTGTTGTAAAAAAAAGTATATATAATATTTTTTATTCAGTCATTTCTCTCCGAATATATGTTTAGTCATGCGACGTACCAAAATAAGTGACAAAGCAAGGTGGCTGTTTTGAGGGGACTGGGAGCCGGTTGACACGTTGGCTGCCAGGGAAATTATGTCGTCGTCGTTGTTGTTAAAGGTAGGTGTGGTTGGAGGGGCTGCTGGCGGAGTGTTTTCGCGGCAGTCATCTTCTTGGTGGGCACGGTTCGTGGAGTAAAGCACTGTTACTTCATATTCGCGGGTGGCTGCGGTTGCGGGGCCACCGTCGTCGTCGTGGTCGTTTTCATGATAATGCGTGAGCCTGGCAGAATTTGTAGTACTATTGTAAGGGGGAGGCGGTGTTGCTGCTGGTGGTGGTGCTGGTGGTGGTGGTGGTGGTGGTGGTGTGGAGGAGGATAACTGGCAACCATCAGTGTTTAGCCGTTGATCCCTGTCTTGAAGGGGAGCGGCTGACAGAGATCGCTGGCTGGCTAGACGGAGTGATCTTCGCGGCATTTTCTAAAAATATGTGCTGGTGAGATAGTGGTGGTGATTCTGGGGAAAGGATAGAGGCTGAAGGCGGCTTACTACGGCCGCCGCAGGCAATATTCGGAGGGCACTTCAAGATTTCCAAGATTCTCTTATAGTACCGCTGCAAGATGGTCCAGAGAAGCTGACGAGCAGCGTCGGACTTGGCTGAAAAGGTAGTTAGTCCAGAACCAATTACATAAATGTCTTCGTTGGCCACTGCTGCCTGGCAGTTCCAGCGACTTGCTTCCGCAGAAGGAACGCGGCGATACTCAACGTCAAAATTTAAAACTGTTGCGATATTGTCCAACAGATGGGTGAGGCGTATACGGTCGTAATAATTGGATTCCTGTGTCGTCCTGGGCTCTACTGGCTTCTCCAATACGGTCAACAAACACGAATAGTAATTACGGATTATTACCGCCAATAATTTTTTAGCCCCGTCTTGTTTAGCCGTTGCGAACGATTTTCCCACACCAACCGCAAAGATTTTTTCAGATATCACTGCCGCCTGGCATTTGCAGATGACTTCCTCGTTTCTCTTTCTAGGCAGACTTTTAAAATCTAGATCAAAGGACAAAAGTTTGCCAATAGTTCCAAGTATTGCCGTGAAGTGACGCCGAACCATGCCGTCTGGAATGGAAAAGTTGCCCACAAACAAGCGGGCAACTGTAGAGATCTGCCGGCATACAGCTCGGTTTATAAAACCTGTCCGTAGCCAGCCAGCCAGTAGGCGGAAACGGCGGCGTGGTCAAGAGGAGAAGAATAATAGCATAATTATCCAGATGTCCGCTTCTGCACGTGCATCCCCATGGGATACGCTTGCGCACACCCAGTCCTGCCTCCCAAGTGGGCGAGATATGTGATTGTCTGTGTGGGTGTGACTTACTGGTATATATAAATCACCAGCGACTGACAAGCGCGCTTATTCAGACTGCTGACATCAACATACTGACGGCTACCACCTGTTGTCACCACTTCGATCGCTAGACATAAACATCCCATTAGTGCATCCGTTCATCGCTTTTAATTTGGTGTTAAAAGTGGAATCACGGTGTGCGTGTGTGAATGTGTGAGCGTGCCACGAATCGGGGAATCTAATAATCTAAGGATATCTTGCAATTACGCACACTAATTTGGTAAGTGTTTGTACAGAGCAAGCGAGCGAGCGCTAATTGCTAATCGAAAACGGCAAAAAACCAGTAGTGCGCGAAAATGCCAACAGCTGCTGAAAGTCGACGAAAATCAACCTTGCTGAAGAGACTTTATACTGATGTTGCATTTCCAGCTTATCTTGCCGGTGCTGGGGCGCTGCATAGGGCGGCCAGAGAAAAACAGAATGAGATACATTCAAAAATAACTTTGCGGGATGTAAAGGAATTTCTCTCGCGGCAAGTTATCCACGTTATCAATTCCCACACAAAAATTTTTTAGTTTGGGAAACTTGAACCGCACAGGTTTATGGAGCGTTTGGCATGCAGATCTCGTTGAACTACAGAAAATTAAAAAGTTTAACGAAAAGTACAGGTATATATTAACGACAGTGGATTGCGTCAGTCGATATGCCTTTTCCCAGCCTCTGGTTAGCAAGTCAAGCAACAATGTTGCAAAAGCTATGGAAAAGATTTTCCAAAATAGACGCCCGGTTGTTTTAGGTATTGTTAATGGTATTTTGTATGTAAATTTTGAACGTACATTTTTAAAGGTTCTGTTTTTGATTTTCTTCTCTGTAGTGACAGATGCTGGGAAAGAATTTCTAAATCACAAAGTGGAAGACGTTTACGCAAGATACGGTATTCGACATCAGATTTCGGCATCGCGGTTTAAAGCAGCGTTAGCGGAGCGTTTCAATCGTACTTTAAAAACAACGTTGTTTCGTAATTTTACTCTCACTAAAAGCCCCAGCTGGTTCTCGTCTCTCCAGAATATTGTAAACAACTATAACATGAGGGTGCATGCCGGCACAAAAATGAAACCCGCTGAAACAACGGTGCAACATCAGTCTCAGCTGTCCAAACTTGGCCAAGAGAAAAAGTTCATTAAATTGCAAAAGCCCGCATTCAGGATTGGTGAAGCAGTCCGCGTAGTGATTAAAAAATCGCAATTCAGCAAAGGCTATACGCGCACATTTTCGGACGAAGTTTTCAAGATTGCTGACATAATTTACGGCCCGCGCTGTGTGGAGTGACATGGATTTTATGGACATGGATTATTCCTCGCCGGCTTACGGAACGCTTATACTTCATAATACGGCGACACATTTCACCAATAAGTTGCAATTTCCCCTTCTATCTTTTCGGGAGCAGGAAGAGCCCTGGGAAGTTGCCCTCGTCCGTGCCTATTCTTCAGCAAAACTCACCAGAATTCCACCAGAGCAGCGCCAATTGACTGTTTACCACAGTAGCCCTAATTGTGGTGACGCGTTTTTTGACGGTTTTTTGACTGAGTCGGACTTTGAAAAAACACCAGCAGATTTTGTGTCTGCTATCAGCCGGGTAGTGGAAGCCATTATGGTTAGCTGCGGAACAACGTTATGGGCAAACGAAAAGCCACAAATTCAGTTGGTTGATGGAAAATTTCAATGGGTCAGCGAAAAAAACGTTTTCCAGTTCGTCAACCGAGGGAACTTGCTGTCGGCCGCTCTTGGACTGACGTACGACGAAGTGCTTGGAATTACACGACATCACGTTCTAACTAGTTATTTTCATGGACAGTCGTTTTCGAAGTATGGTGACACTCGGCTTATTCGACACCGCCTCCCTGTCGATCCGGCGCGTGGTCGGCGCCAGGTCATTCTACATCTTAGTCATGTTAATTCAACAGGATTTGGTGGACGTTTGGAAAACGTGCTAGCGTTGTCAACTGCAGAAGAACTCCAAAAGGGTTATGAACCAAAGAGTCGAGTTTACCTGCCCGTTCAAAACTGGTTCAGTAAAGCTAATCCGGAAGTAACGCTGAAATCTGATTGGAAAATGGAGTGGACTGAAGACACCCTGGGAGAAACTACGGTTACTTTGCATTATCGAAAATCTAAGCCGCAAACAGTAGGATGATCATGATGACGTTGGCGCTCTTCACTAGGTTGAATAATCTGTGTCTTAATTTTAATTGCTTTCTAGTTTTTTGTCTGGTCGCAGTGTTGTGGGCGTGGTTAGTTAAGTGTGGGTGGTGTTTCCCTGCACTTTGCAGGTTGATGATGTATAAAAGGAAGGTAAAGTGTGGATTGGAGCATTCATTAATTGTTTGCTGCGTGTAGTCTGTAAAGTGTTTTCTGACACTGCTTGCACGCTTGGTCCATAATAAATAAAACGGCTAAATCGTACGGTAGACAAAAAAGAAGGAGGCGAGCCAACCGGTCTGTAATTAGGCGGACAATAGTTCAGTCTACAGTAATTGGAAAATATCGGAGACGACGACGACGGCGACGACGAAGAGGAACGCGACGATCTCGCCGCCGAACGATACGCACTGGTCTTTTTCAAAAAATAGCGCGTGGAAAATCACTGGCATCTATTGTTTAGAAGTAAAATGGCTTCAGCTGCGAAAACTCAAGCGACTATTGAAAAGTTTCCGGATGAGTTGCAATTATTCGATCCGCCAGTCAGTCAATCTACCATTGAAAGCAGTCATACAATGGAGTTCTTACCCTTAAATCAGGTTGTTAATAACTCTGAAGTTATTGAATTTGTAATTCCTGCCACTGAGTATTATTTGGACTTGTCAGACGTGCAGCTCTATATGCGTGCTCAAATTGTAGAAAGAGATAGTAGCAAATCCCTAGGGATAATTAAGTCCACAAACAGCACAATAGGAAGCAGTGGCGACACTGTTCCTATCGCTAACAATGACGCTGTCGCTGCACATCCTATCAACGCTGTATCAGCAGCAGCACAGGGCGGGGTAGTTAACGCGAGTCAAAGAGCAGATGGTCAGCGGCAGCAGCATTACACCGTGGATCCGCTGCGTGACCCGGCAATTGCCCGTGTTTTAGCAGCTTTGAGCCCACAAGAAAAGCAGGAATATATTGCGAAACTGAA